TGTTATTTTCGTTCCATATGATATATTATGTAGGCCTAATGATAATATATGTTAATGATGGCGCAAAGGAACTCCCTTTTTCGAACTGGTGTGGGACTTGATTTGCTGGGTAGTAATTTTTTTTTCCAGGTAGTAAATTTTTTCAGCAAATATTGCTGGACACCCTGAATCAATCAGTGGCTTTTTTTAACACCAACATATTTGTTGTTGATGCTCGTGTAAGAGATGTGTCTTAATGCCGAAGTCAGGAGAGGTCAGACAGGCAGCTAAGACATGTTCGACTATGGGTGTATGTGTCAGTGCACAGGAACGGGAACAGAAGCTTGATGTCAGGAGTGGAATATCAGTGCAGAGATGCTGTCACTACACAGCCATAAATTTTTTCACCAGCTACTGAACAATGATTGACATAACTCTTGATCTGCATAATGAGTTGTACGTCTGTCTGTGGACCCAAACATTGCTGTTTGCTTGGCCCTTCTCTGGACCTTGTTCTGCAAGCAGTACTTCATATAATACATATATATATATATATATATATATTTGGCACTGACTTGTGTTAGTTCGAATCTGCCTTTTTAAAATAGTCCTGTCACAAAAGCTCACATTGCTTTCAATGAACACTTAGATTCGGTGAATTTGTTTGCCTGGCCTGACTTCATTGTATCTGAGTTTCATTGCACTTCTTTTTGGGGGGGGGGGGGTTGTTGTCTTTCCTGAACTTTTAATTCTCGTACGTTTAACTTCCTCGCACAGAACTTATTTTATTTTTAAGAATGTAGACAAATGCTTGTGTGTCAATATTACACAGAAAATTCTGATGCGATGTGAAAAAGTGATAGTTGATTAAAGTGTTTTAAAAAAAGGAAGGGTCTTCCCAAGGTGACTGAGAAATCGTATTAAGTGCTGCAATTTTTTCACGTGCACTGTTCAGTTTTCTTGGAATTCCAGGTCCGCAGGATTTTTACTGCTTGAGAGGAAACTTTAACAGAAGTCTTTGTATAATTCCTTAAGTTGTACTGTTTTTTGTAGGTAAATGTTTAGTTCTCGTTAAGTATGACGCTGTGATGCTTCTCCCTCTGAGACTAGTGAGACCTAACATTGACAACAAACGTAATGGAATACCACAGCAATTACACTAAACCTGCCTTCATCACTGCATGGCTTGGACAGAAGGGCAAGAGCCTAGCTGTTGCTGAAGAAGAAGAAGAAGACTCTTTATGTAATCTTTTCTAGGTTTGGGCACACAATGTATTTTTTTTTCATAAAAAGAGATTCTACTCACTGACCATTAGTCTTGGCATGAGTTATTCAATTTTCACCTTTTCTTTCACACCAGAATGGCATGAATGCAGTATCGATGAATATAGCAGAACAGTACGTGTCAGCGTTTGGGAACCTGGCCAAAGAGGGCAATACTGTGGTTCTCCCCATGAACAGTGGTGATGTATCTGGAGCGGTGACCCAGGTGAGAATCTGAATATTTTTTATTTTGAAGAATTTGACAGTTTTATGTGCTGTGATATTTGTATGGAACTTGTTTTGCATGACATTTCTTAATGTAATATATTGTATGTCTGAGCATGAATTGTTTGGTTGGGTGAAGCATTATGTGAATCTCATATGTTGTTGTGAGTTTCTGATTTGTGAGCATTAATTTTGGAATCCACAAAATGTCTTAGAAGAGTAAAGATTCACTTCTTCAACAGCAATGTAGAGACCCCCCGGGGCAGTGCCACTGACTGTAGTGTCTTTAGGCCATTCCCAAAGGGGGGACATTTCTCGTTCAAGCACAGTAGAATTGTAAATGGGCTTATTCATCATGTCACGCTCATTAACTGTGCCTGATCTACAACAAGGAACTGCTGCTTTTTCTTTCCTAATCCTTACTATTGTCATTTTCCTCTTCTTCTTTTGTATGTTTGTCACTCTCTTGTGACCCGCTATTTTTCGGGGTGCCTTGATAGTCGAAGCAGACCTTGTGCTGTTAAAGCTAGAGAGGTGAGCAGAGTAAGTCTGATTCCCTGTAAAGACTTCTCTGTTGACACCCACCCCTTGGTGCTCATATGACCTTATGCAGTTGTGAGGGCCGTAAAACCCTCTACTAAAAAAAAAAAAAAGGCAATGTAGAGGGAATTTTTGTCCATGGATTGGAGACCTGGCAGAAAAGGAACAATTTAATACCTTGATACACAATGAATGTTTTCAATTAATAAATCATTTGCTGTGGTACATGGTCCATAAAACTTGTCTTCTAAAGGTGTTCACTGGCAGGGCTTAACGATGCTCCCCTCACTTTTGTGGACAAGTTGCAAGTCTCTATTCTTAGTGATGTTACACTTAAAAATACTTAAGTAAGCCCTCAAGGTTGTTTTTGGGATGGTGTCAATATTTTTGGAGTTTTTAACTCTTTTATCTCCGGCAAGCCGCTCCAAACGCCTTGCAGTTGGAACTGCTGTGCCGGTGAGCCACTGACGGTGGCTCGGGCACATTCCTTTCCGACAACTTCGACGTTAAATTGCTAAACATATTTCTTTTACCAGAAGTTCATTCATTAGATGAAGTACTATCATAATAGGCTCTCTAGTTTTGATTTAATGACCAGTTTAGTGACGTTTTCGTCATTTTTAGATTTAGTACCACAAAAGGGCCCTGACGTAGTGGGTTTACCCCCCTCGGAGATAAAGAGGTAATGTCTTGAAAATGGTGCATTGCCTGTTTGAGCAAATTCAATTTCTGAAATCAGGGGATCAAGATGTGAAACGTGTTTGTATAGGTGCAATTTATCTTTTAAGGAAACCACAGTAATTGTTAACCATCACTTCTTTCATTTCGTTATCTTAGTTGTAAAAGTGAATTTCCTTTCTAATAGCCAAATGCAGAAAACACAGTGGGTCAAATCCACCAACAGTTACCATTCATTTGTAAACCATACCAACAAATGGTACACGGTTAAAGGAAAGGCCTGGGGATGAATGTTATAAGGATGACAGCTATATCTGCCGTAAGGTGATCAGTAACACAGGGGCATCACTCTCCTTTGGAAAGGGGGAAATATGTTCTAAAAGAACTGTTATTTCCAGAATATTCTGAATAGCAAAGTAGTGACGTTGGGACCATCCTGCATGTAACTTTACTTTATCATCCCAGCGTAGACTCAGGGGAGTGTGCAGGAGTGTAAATCTTGCATTTGATCTGTGGGGTCTGTAGACTTAGGGTTCAGGGCTCAAGGGGTTTCATGTAAAAAGTCATATGTAAAAATGTTGATACCTCTTGAGTCTTTGTTTTTTTTTCTGATTTTTTTATTCATGTGACTTTATTATTTCAGGCCATGACAATGTACCAGGCATTATCAAAAGACACAAGTAAGCAGCTCGGCATCAAAGAGTTACCAAAGAGGACAGACAATGAGAAGTCATAGCCTGAGAACACTGAGATTAGTTTCAAATTGTTCTTAAATGGTACACAAAAAATGTTTTGCACTCTGATGTCTACTTGAGTATATGGAGCAGGTTGCATTTGTTTTTGCCTGAAACTTCATATTTCCTGCTCCATTGTTATATATTTAACTAACAACTTGGTTCATTGATTTGTTAGAGTCATTTTTATACAGAATTACAGCATAGTAGTGGAGGTTATCAGAGTAAAAAGTGAGTGTTCAGTTTTGTCCCATTCCAAATTGCCAGCTGTAGGCTTCTTCTTTTTTCTTCTCGATCACACCTTACTTGAAGTCCGGTTTCTATCATATAATGGGCCATCCTGCTCAGTTCTTCTGTTAGTTTGTATAAGCTTACCCTGTAGAGTTAATGGGGTTGGCTATGTTTCCTGGCTCAGGGCTCTATGTGTCTTGCACTGCTGGAGAGTATGTTCTAAAGTTTGGTCTGCTTCTCCACACTGGCATTTTGGTGATTGCACTTCATTAAAACATTTGTACATGTGTTGTCCGAGTCTTGTGTGTTGTGATTTTAGTCTGAAGATAATGCCAGCAGTACTGTCCAGTTATCTGCGTTTGTGAACAATGTTTGTTAAAAAAAAGTGTGTTTTGATCTGTTGGCGTTTTGTGGCTGTGGTGATGCATTAGTATTTCACTGGTCAAGATAGTACACATTTTGTTTTTCGTATAACAAGGGGAGAAGGGTATCAGAAGGCATTGTTACTAAACTCCTTTGACTGGTTTGGCCAAGATATTTGATCGTCTGAAAATTAATGAGAGAATAAAATGAAATTGTCTTTGCCAGTGACCCTATGGGTGTTGGAGAAAACTGATTTGGTGAGGAAGGCATGTCGATTCATTTGCTATCGCTAGTTCACTTTTGTCTGTCTGCATTAAAAAAATTCCAGCTTATTTATAAATTTACCTATGCCCACGAAACTTTGTATGGCCCTTCTGCAGGCCAACGACTAAACAAAAATATTTTAAAACAAAATCTTGATCCTGGAATAAAAAAGTTTATTTGGGCCCTGTATTGAAAACCACTCTTTGGGTGTATACATGAGGATCACGAAAATAAATGTCTTACAGTAATCTTGCCTACAAACTGCTCGTTTTGAGACAGTGGCACTAACCTGTCCCCTCAATTCAGTGTAAGCTTGTAGATTTCATCCCACCACTATCCAGGCGTCTCTAGGCAAGTCGAGAGAAAATTTCATACTCCGCCACTTAAATTTTGTTTCTTTGGCATTCTTGAAATAGTTTAAAGGGTGGTGTTGAGAAAAATATATCAACTTTAAAAGTGTTTTAGGTTTATGCTGTAAATCCTCTATAATTTGTTTTTACCTGCTTCAGCCCTACATTTTTAAAAAATGTGTCGGAACCTTAGTTTGTAGTGACCTTTATAAATGGGTTATTAGATTCTTTTGGTCATCATCCAACTTTTAAACCCATTAAGATTCTTTTGGTCATCATCCAACTTTTAAACCCATATATATGCAAAGATCGGAGAAAATTAAACAGAGTATTTAATTTTGCCTTGTTTTAACCGGTCGGACGAAAGTGAACAAGCTGTAACAGGCTTATTTATTTGATTTGCAACAATTTGTTGGTCAATTCTAATGAAGTACTGAGAATAGAGTTTTGATTCTGTTTCATGAGTAAATGTAATTTAACATGTTTGGATTTATAAAAAATAAACAAAGACAAATTTTTGCTGGTTTATGTTCTTTTCATGCTACTACTAACCCTTACACTATAATGGTATGAAAATATTGCAAAAGTTTCTTGGGAGCTTAGTTGTCTGTCTGTATTGGGATACTTGAAGTTTGAATTTTTAAGGAAGCATATCAACACCGGTTTTTGTAACAGTACTTCGGAAAAGCAAGGTTATTTTTTTTTTTTGGTAAGTGTTTTACGGCGCTTGCAACTGCATAAAGTCTTATGAGCGCAGGGGACACATTAAACATTTTCAGTTGGTTGAAAATTTTGAATTTTGCTGGGGTGGTGGCCGAAGCCTACTCTTATCGGTTTTAGAACACCAAAGTTAAGTACTTTAACGTGCGCAACTTGCACACGGGACCTCCTAGATTTTTCGCCCTTGTCCGAGAAGGCTAAGTGTTGATCTTTCCTACCAGAAGATCAGGGGTGTGGCTGAAAGACAAGACAACAGAAAGGAGCCAAAGAGTAGCAGCAAAAAGGCTGCAGAAAGAGTCAGGAGCTCAGAGGAGGGGGCAAAAGAGGCGAGGGGTGGGGGCAGAAAGTGGAGACGAAAGCAAATGACAGAACATTGCTAGAGAGCAGGAAAGAAGGTGACAGGAGACAATTTTAGAGAAGGAAATTTTTCTGTCGCTACCTGGATTCGAACCCGGGACCTTTGAATTAGAGGCGAACACCTCTAGGCCATGAGAGCCCCCAAAGCAAAGTGCTAGATCGTGCCAAATGGAGGATCCAACCACAAAGCTTGCTCAGAGTCCGTGGTAGTTCTGAGAAGCTCTAAAAATAAAACGAAGACCAGTACCTTAGGGGAAAACAACTGGTGGTCCACTTTCTTCTAATGTTCGAATTGCCGGTGGTAGGAGAGCTCCAGTGGTAGAAATAGTGAGACCATAACACATTAGAGAGCAGGGTCTTCAAAAGTAAGTACATATGCATAGACCAATTTACCCAAGTTTTTTGCCTTTGCTTTTAAATAAAAGGAATGTTCGACCTAATGACCCGAGGAGAAAAAACATTTTTTGTCGACTAAAACACTCACATCTAAAGGTCGCTACACATGTTCATTCCAACCTGGCGGTTTTAACCGGAGTTGAACCCACCGTGCAAAACCGCCGTTCGACGGGTCGGTGCACCATCCACATCATATGCTGTTTAACCGCAGCTCCAGTCAAATTTTAAAATGGCGGAGTGTGCTGACAATCACTGCACATCGTGACACCAAGGCCAGCCTGTACCAAGCCCCTTCAGAGAATGCATTATTATGAGGGAATTTTAAAAATCTATTTATTTATTTTTAAAAATCCACAAATTCTGCTCCGATCTTGCCTTAAAATTGGGTCACTCATTTAAAAAATGTAATCAGATTTTATGTGCGGTAAATCATTTTGAAGATATTGGCAGTGACAAGATAAGCCAACTAAGCCTGTGACGTCACACAAAGGCTGTCGTCGACGGAACACGCTGAACTGTAGTCAGATAATCCAAACATGTTGAAACCGCTGGTTCGGCCTCCCGGTTCAACTTTTGCTTGCAGTTTTTCATCCACATCTGTGGTTCTGCTGCCAGGTTTGCCTTTCCCTTCCGAACCGGCAGTTTGGAACGTACATGTGTAGCCGCCTTTGATTGAAACTTTTCTTTGGGACGTAGCATTCTAAGTTTTCCACATAGCCTTCTACTAGTATGAATTCTATGCTATAACTTAATAAGTGAACACCATATAAAATTAAACATGACTACATGACTTTCTCCACCTTTGTCATTTTATTAATCTGACATGACCAAAATCATGATTTTTAAAAAATCTGCTTAATCAGAATGAAATGTACATGCATTTTCATTATGCATATTCGAACATTTATACATGTAGGTAAAAACAGTAAAATATAATTGCAAATTGGCATAAAATATAAAATAACAGTTATAGTAGTTTTGAGTGGAAAAAACCCAAACAATTCAGTGACTTAGTATGCTACCTTAATGGCTGGCGACACAGTTATTCCACAAGCTTTACAGACTGGAAATGGAAAAGGGAACAAAACTGTCTTCAAAAATCGTTTTACATTAAGAACATGGGAAAAACATAACACTAATACATTTAGTACCCTTGGTTTAGGAAAACAAAACCCTGCACTGCTTTGACTCGACCCAATTCAATTTGTTTGTGAGAACAATCTCTTGACAAACCTGAGGTCTATATATATCTCCCTTGATCTCTCCTTTTCCCATGAAATCTATTAAAATATACTCAGTCACAAAAAATTCAGTGACAGTGAAACTGAAGAGTAAATTTTATATTCACTGCACGACCATAGTAATTTCACTCCAAAATCAAAAAGTGGAACTGCAATTTAAGAAGCTAGCTGATTCAAAAATAATTTTGTTTTCTGAAGGCTTCATGACATTCTGCAATCACCTCATATTATTTCCTGCAGATCTGATTATACTACTGTAAAAAAAAGGTCAAAACTCATTTACATAATGAGACAATGACCTCACTGAGCAATATGAAACCCACCACAGTAATAAGAAAGAAGAGTCGTGTATGAAAACTGTTTCACGTAACATCTTACATGGAATAACATATGCATGTAATATACTGCTACAGATCCATCTATTTCTCTCATAACTGATACTGTTGATAATGCTACTAAATCATGTCTCTGGTTTAGTCTCTGGAAATGTCAAATGACGACAATAAAGTCAGCACATCATGAAAATAAAACATATTTAAGAAAAATTTGCACTTATTTGTACATAATATCACATATGGCAATGTATACTTTTACTCAATAAAGAAAACATGGTATGTTAAGATAAAAGTTGAAACAGGTCATTTGTCAAGGATAATTTACAAAAGCGCATTTTAAACTCTCCTTTAGCTAATCTTCAAATTATTTTGTTGTTTGTGGCTATTTCCTCCAGTCAATTTGTTTACACTTAAGGCCAGACAGAGCGAGGCTATATTTATGTTGACATAAAAGTATGCTTTGTTTAATACACTCTTGTTCTCACCTTGTGTATTGTTATGCTTGCAACTAATAGATTTAGCGTTACTGATCCCACAACTAGAACTAATAGATCTGTGTATCACTTTAAGTAGACTTGGAAGAAGAAAGATATTTTGATTCCTACTTTCACCCAACTCCAACTTCCAACGGTTCATCGCCTGAACTACAGCCCCTATCCAATGGTCTAGAAGCTTCAAGTGTGTTTTGTGGGATGCTGTGGAAGATTTAGTTTTCTAGTTCACTATCAGACCTTTTCCACAAATAAATGATCCTGTACCAACATTCAATGTTCAATTCTGAGCTAAGAAAAGTCAAGTTTGAATTCAGTTTTTGCATCCTTGAATATATTCTGGAAATTATAATGGTGTCTTCCCGACATGTTAAAAAAGGTAACACATCAAATTTCCTGAGTTCCAGATTGAGAGAAAATCAGTTTCCGTAATCTTCTGTTCTGATCAGGTTGAGCTTGCAAAATTTTTCCACATTGTCAGCATCAGGTGACCACTTGGCTTTCAGTTACAAATTTGATTTAGTCAGCCAGAAGAATTCCTGAAGAAAAAAAAAGACAGGATAAAACAATGTACATTTGTTTTTACTGAGTGACAGCTTTGTCACTTTAGAGGAAGAAAAAAACAAGGTGAAGGTCACTGGCTCCAATAATGCTTGCATGTGGTCAACATAATAAGGCTTACTAAACAGATATATATATGGGAATGTTCTGTGTCTGAAAGGTGTAACAGTACAGTAGACTTATAATAAAAAGCCCAAACACTAAAAAGAGATACTACCAAAAAAGAAGAAGAAGATCTTTCATACAACATTCTTTAAAAGAGAGTATCTATTCAATTATGTGACACAAAAGAGATTAGATATCCATGACAAAAATAACCATTCATCTCACATTTCTTACCATGTATGTAGCAGGTTCATTTCATTTGTATGAACTCTGGTCAACCTTGGTAAACAATTATGCTAAATACAATTATCCATGTGGGATTTAAAAATTCTTTGTTCTCCTACATAGCCTCACTAATATATTTTGTTTCAAAGGGTTGGAAAACAAATGTTGACAAAAAAAATATATATACATAATACAGTAATCATAATGTCTTTTTGAACATATATCCAGCTACCACTCAATATTTACGTACCTGGGTTTTACGTTGTGACATTGGGTCAATCATGACGTTGATGATGGAGGCATTTTTTGTATCACGTACTGCGGCCTCCATACTTTTCTTCAACTCACTCTTCGTCCTGGCAAAGTAACCTTTGCCCCCAAAGGCTTCAATAAGTTTTTCATAGCGGGTATTGGGTTGAAGGGCAGTCGGCGGCACCCTGTAATGAAACAAGAAATTTTTTTTAATCAGTTGAGAAATATAATGTGTTAGCTGATCGATTACGACACTAGACATTACAAAAACTCTAACAAACTGCCTGGGAAAAAGAGAAAAGATATAGCATAGCGAAACGAAAGACGTTTTTCAAAGGAAAGTACCAACCTGAGTTATCAAAACCATTCGGTTCTGTCTAGATTGCTGGCATTGGGACTTTCCCCTCTGTCTTTGTGCATGCTTTGGAGGTTTCCTTTCTCTACACTTCTATTTTTCTTCAAATGCATATCAAAATTGGATAAGTGCACTCCTGTAATTATAACTAAATGGAAGTTTTGATATGAAACCTTTAAGGGAAGACCCGGGTCGGCGACACCAGAAATTATTGTTAAAATTTTTCAAACCATCCAACTTTTGATTTTTGCTGAAAAACATGATTTGACATCTGTTCTATAGGGTCACAATGACGAAACGGACTAAAATGAACTAAAAGGGCGTTTGACACATTAGCCTAAGGGCCTAGATGGGAAGTCCACTGTTAGATCCTAAGCAAGGGGAAGGAACCCACCTCCCGTGAATACAAGCGTTAAAAAACACATTTCAAAAATACTAAACAAATTCCAAAATTCCGGAAAAAATAAAAGTTAAACAGAAAACTGAAAGTAGTTTCAGAAAAATATAACTTTACGTTTGCGCAAACTGTTGGAAATGCTCCAACTTAAGTTCAATCAGGGTGTCCGACCAGTCACTCTCACTCTCAGCCTCGCAGTCCGGCCCTAGATCTAAATTCTAGATTCTCTATGTCTGATCAATCTGAATTGCCCCAAACTCTTGCTACAATGTTGTCATCAAAATCTGAGCCATCTGATTTGTCATATGCTTGTTTTTGCTCAAATTCATCGTTATTTCCGTTTTCGAACTCAATTGTGTCGCTTTTCAACAAGTCGAGACACTTCCGAAGTGTCGATAACGGGATTGCACTTCTATCAGCCCTTATACTAAAACTACTGGCCCGAAAAATTTTGTTTCGGTATCAAACGAAAGAAGAAACTTTTTGCAATAACTCTGCAAATCAAAATCTTGGCCCCAGAGTCTCGTCAAGGCGAGACTTCGTTTCTAAAGACGTAAGGTTGGCGCGGGCGGTTCCGGGCGAGTCAGAGAGGAGCGCGTAAGGGAATTCTCGGGCTAGTTAGGGTGTAATGTGTTAAAAAGTGCAAATTGCACTAAAGATCCTTTTAAAAATCCCGGTTTTCCCTGTTTTTCTCAAAATCTACTTTTTGACATAGGTGACCTTCTTGGTGTAAGGAGTTTTCAAAAACTACTGAAGCTAAAAGCTTCAAATTTGGTGTACATGTGCTTTAAGATATATTCTGGGGATTTATGTGAAGGAATTGGAAAATATTAGTAAGTTGTGGAAATATTCAAGTTTTTTGTAATATGTACCCCAAAATTTCATCAAAAGACTCTCAGGGGTCCACTGAACTTTAGGTTCACTTTTTATTTTTAAAGGTAGGTCAAAATCCTCAAACAGATCCACAGTCCATATAGGTTTGTACTTGTGAGCCAAATTTCAGGCTGATATTTCAATATTTACTATGAAATTCTTCTACACTAAGAAACTGGTTTGAAAATCCAAGATGGCCGCCACGGAGACCCATTTTTCGGAAAAAATCAACAAATTCACGCTTAGTACATCCTATTTACCTATGAATTTCTTGCACAATTACATGAAAGTGAATAAAAATCATTCGTTTATAAAATTTTTCCAGGAGTATACGTTTCCCCTTAATACTTGAGCAATATCACTTCCAGCCAATTTTCCCTGTTAAAGTCCAGACACTGGTAGAGGGAAGCTAGCTCATATTCTTCTTTGTAATAACCTTTATTTGGAATACCCTGTCCATCTTCTTTACCAACTCAAAACTTTGACAACTCTCCAACCCATGACAAAGAATAATTTGAAAAAAGCCTCAACGTACAAAATCATGGCTCTCTGAAAGAGGGACATGAGCCTAGCTACTGCTGGATTACTACCAACTAAATCAGCAGCACAGTACCATTCCAAATCAGACTTGAGAGGGATAATGCAACTTCGTGAAGTGCATGGCCCAGGGGTATGCTTCTCTATCCTCCACTGTCTATAAAGTGACAGGAAATTTGACAAATATAATAAATTTATTGAAAGTTAGGAGCAGCACATACACATTTTTCTTGCTCACAAAACTTACGTCAGCAAGAGATCACCACTCTGCTCTGCATTCTCCCACATTTCATCCTTGAGACCAAATGTGATCCCATTATTGTTGAAGATGACAATTATCACAGGAAGTCTGTACCTGAATCAAAATTGAAATGTGAGTTTCAATGACAGACAAATGATTTTTGTGGAATTGGCAAAAGCAAGGAAAAAAATATTTTTCATTAAAATAAATGGTAGAAAGAAATTTGAAAATGCTTAGCATCATTCAAGAATTAAGTACGGTTGGTGATTTCCAAGTGAGCAATGTCAATTCAGAAAAATAAACATCTTTTACAACTCTGGCCCCACGGAAAATTACATTTTAAAAATTGAAAAATTGCAAAAAATGGCAAGGTACACTGCCTAAAAATTGCAAAAAAACTGCAACCTTCCCATCCCAGGCGCATTAAAATGGGCTTATAATTTTCAGTTTTAAAAGCATGACAATTTGAGAAGCATAAAAGCAGAACAGCCTTTTAACAAATCATGATGCACAATACAAACTTTATAACAACATTTACTAGTAACAACACATGAGTGGGTTAACAATAAGTTATTGACCAAATATAATATAATGCCACGTGACACAAAAAACGGAACCCTCGGCTTTCGTAACAACTTTCAAATGAATGCATAAAATTTGACCAAATTTAGTACATACTGGTACTTGGTTCATGCAAAGATCTAGAAGTGTATGAAGTTTCATGAGGTTTAGTCAAAGAACAAAAATTTGACGTGAGATTTACGAAACAACCTCTAAAAATACAAAATATGCTCCAATAAATTCTGATTCTGTTTCATTTTCCTCTTGAAACCTGTAATCTGTATTTAGATCTATTTAAGATATTTTCTGTTTTAAAACCTGTATGATAAGTTAAATCGTAAAATACAGCATTTTTCCATAAACAATAATAATAATAATGTAGATAATTTCTATAGCGCCCACTCCCGTGTGAAGACAGCTCTAGGCACTTTACATAAATGCATCATGTACAAACAATTTTCGCCCACGCACGCTTGCATGCACACACACACACACACACACTACACACACTCTCACGCACACCTTACATGCACACTCACGCACACCTTACATGCACACCACACACACCTACTTGCTTATCACAAGCGCACGCTTACACACATTAGATCTATGTCTGATTTGTGGCACTTGCCTGTTCTTTGTCGAGTCATGTTTGTATTCTGGCCTGAATTTCTGGATATAGCTTTTAGAGTAAACTAGAGCTGGGCCGATACCAGGATTTACTTATCGACTCCGTACTCTCACCATTTCATATTAAAAATTCTATTAAAATTAAAGCGTTGTTTTATTTTTGCCTAAAATTGCAAGAAATTACGAAAATTGCAAAAAATTGCGGGTTTATTGCGGAACTTGACGATAGGGCCGCAAGACCGCGATTTCTTGGATGAATACTTATAACAAGATAGTCAAGATGGAAGAAGTTTCATGGATGATGGTAAGAATGACCTTCTATATCTTTCTTTGTTACAAATCAGAAGCCTAGGACTTTTATTTCTGACTGATATTTTTATTTGAGGTTACAAGGGATGTTTACTGTCCAAAAAGATGAACAATGAATTCTTAGAACACAGCCTGACTTTCATTTCTCATCATAATCATATGGTTTGCAAAAATCCTCTTACCTGGCCATAGTTTCAATCTCCATGCCAGAGAAGCCAAAGGCACTGTCACCCTCCACACAGACGACCCGCTTGTTCGGCTGGTAGTCTCGGCACCAGATGGCGGCTGCCAGGGCAAACCCCAGACCAACACCCATTGTACCAAATGTGCCTGCATCTAGTCTGAAAGAAAAAGTAACCAACATGTTTTCTTACTTCAGTGTTATCATCAGTATGAAGAAATATTTTTTTATATCTTTGATCAGTTTTCATCCATCGTTAAGTTTTAGTAAGGTTTTGCCGCGTTCCTAACTGCATAAGGTCATATGAGCGTCAAGGAGTGGATGTCAACAGAGAAGTCCAAACGGGGAATCAGGCTTACTCTGCTCACCTCTCTAGCCTCAACAGCACAAAGTCTGCTTTGACTATCCTATCAAGGCACCCTGGAAGTAGCAGTTCACAAGAGAGTGATAAACATACAAAAGAAGTAGAGGAAAAATGACGATAGTAAGGATGAGGATAGAAAAAGCAGCAGTTCCCCCTATGTTGTTCCAGCACAGTATGAGCATGACATTGATAAATCAGCCCATTTACAATTCTACTGTGCATAAGAACATGTTAATATCTCCTCTTTTTGAATATGAAAGTAGGTAAAAGTGGAATTTTGTCAATGCAACACATTAAGTAAGTACAACCAATTTCATGAAAAATATCAGATCTCAGGAGAATGGGTCATGGATGATCCAGTCATTATATCATATAGAATAAGTGGCAAAATGATAGAGCTGAAAAAAGTTTAACGAAAAACAAAGGACACAACACTTTGTACAAATTGAGATATTAATAGGAAATGATCATGTTGGCCTTACGACTGTCCATCAAATTACCGTTATGCTACACTGTAAGAGAAATTTTGCTAAATATAAATTTACAGTACACATGAACAATAGGGCAAAATTTTATCCATCTTTTCCTTTTTTCACTTAGAACCTCATTCGGCTGTCGCCTTATAAGTCAATGTAAGGAATCTAATAAAGCAAGGGTTACAGTTGGCTACAGAACAGCGCATGTATTATGTCACCTGTGTCGCGGGAGGAGGTTGGGCAACATAGTCCTGCCAATGTCCATTGTGTTGGATCCTTCATTGACAATCAGGCTGTTTTGAGGAATAGCACTCTGAACCTGTTGATACACCAAAATGTGACTTAACTGCAATTTCATAAGCAGTAAATCATTTGGGATACAGAGAAGCACATCAAATGATACCTGCAAAGTACATGAAAGACAGACAGATGGAAACAAATAACCAAGCCAAGGTAAAGAAATAGAATCTATGAGTGCTGTCCTCCAACCTCTTGCCTGGCATGAAATCAAATCAGTTCAAAATTGCTACTTAATCGTTACCGTATGTCTGTATTTTTTACGCAGCGGGTACGTTGAGTACCAATTTTGGAACAGTTATCATACTCGTAACCGAGAGCATTCCAAACTTTTTCCAAGATAGTAACCATTAAATAGAGAATGGAGAGCTGTTTTGAGAAGGAAGGGTGAGTAAACTGGAAGTATTACTTAGATTACGTGAATTATGTTGGAGTTTGGCTTTACGCTCAGCACGCAAACCACGCAAACCTGCTACACGCTCAGCATGCAACCCTACTACACCCATAGCAGCTTCCCCAGCATTAGATAGCCGGACCCTCAGATAGCAAAACATGTGTGTGCTAAAAATAAAAATCGCATCATCATGACCCAGCGTGCTCGCTTTGCGTGTATGTTGGCCTATGGTCTGCAGTTTTTCCCAGTATGTGCCATTATTGGTACATGACATACGAATAGGGGGTAGGGTAGAAAACGGTAATCAATTTCAAAACTTGAGATCAAAACTTCTAATGAATAAAATGCCCTGTTCCATATTTTGTAAATAGCGTATGGTAAAGGTAAATCATTATGAACAATGTAAATAGTAAAATATACAAACTGATTCTTAAATATCCTCAAGCACTTACAAAATCACTTATTTGTATTCATACAGCAGATCCAAAATAATGAACAGAAGTTCCTGCTTCCCTCAACAAATTAGCATTCTTTCCAACAAAGAGACGCTCCTATCAAACCTTCCGTATAAAACTAAGACAAGATAAAACTTGCATCAATTTCCTACTGCTAACGAGAGTTTAATACTTGCCCACATCTGAGATGACAATACAATTTAATGTAAGCTACTTATGTGAGAAAATTTACCTCTGAATATGCAGCATAGTAGTTCATAGGAACTGTAACATCTTGACTCATGGCCTGGAGAAAAGATGAGTAAAGTATATTCATATAGAGCTATCCACATATATGTTGATGTCTTCAAAGGTCTTCTCATATATAGGTCTAGGATTAAAAAAAGGTTACATCACAAGATCAGGTGAACATCTTGAACATTTCATTAAAATAGAAAAAAAATCCACAATTAATTAAAGTAGTAAAGCTAACATCTCAAATTATAATCTTTATTTTTGAAGTTGTCTGAATATTTGATATCACTTCAAAGCAAATATCAGTATGTTCTGTTGGAACATACTTAGGGCAGCAACAGTCCACAGACAAAGAACATTTTACTTCCATCAATGGGAGGATTACCTGAACATTTTTCTGGTTTGCTTCAATTTTCCCTTTCAAAGTGTTCCACCAAGGTGCTTTCTGATTGAATTTGAACTGTCCTGGCCTTCTGTGAAGTTCTTCGTTCAACTTTTTAAAAAAAGGAAACAAAATATAAGTCACGCTGTGGAGTCAAAAAAGAAATGCTTCCCTGTTCTGGTCTGTATACAACATCCTACTCATCCATCATTTAAGTCATCACAGACCAAACTTTTCTATGTTGGAAGAGGGAGGAGAGGGGAAGAGGAGGTCACCTTAAGAGGATAAAGGAAATGGATATAAGATTTAAAACTTTTCAAAGTCCATGAATGGGTCATTGCGTCGCAATAAAACCAAATTTTATTTGTCCATTCAATCAACATTGTTTCGCATAGACATTACTGGATTTGCTACCATGGGCTTTAAAGTAAGGGAATATCATTATGACTTGATCAAGGATTTCACCTTATTCTGATCCACCTTCTAAGGTTATCAAGCTGGACTACCTGAAAGGAGCAGCCTTGAACTTGGGCTGAGATGGGAGTTTTCAATGTTCCCTTCACCTTTTCCACTAGGTCCTATCTAAAATGGATGTTGATATCGCTGGTCCTACAGTTAGAACAACTTCATCTCATTTAAAGGGGCATTAAACCCATACCACATCTAATTTAGCAAAAAAAAACCCCAAAAAACCCTTATTCGCATAACATCTCGCCTCTTCCTGATTCTGGAACACCAGAATTTTAAGCAGAACGTACTGTTTTAGAATTGCATGAGTGGTAGAAACAAAGAACAATCTTTATTGATTAACATTTCAATACTTAAGTGGGATGGTTCCTGTTTATGCATTTTCCACTAAAACAAATTTTATTTGAATAAGATTCATACATCTGCCATCTCATTACACAGTAACATCACTTTTCCCTTGTATGCATTTCTTTTTTGGCTTCAATATTTGTTCGGAATCTATTTTATAACAAATCCCTTTTCTACCAGAGCTTAGAATGTTAACTCAACTGTTTACACTTTTCAATTAATTTCAGTCCACCAATTTTAAGTACATACTCATTTGCAAGACCCAGTTCAGCTTTTAATACTTAGAGAACTAGAAAACATAATGTGTCACAAAATCACTTTGCAAAAATAAAATCTGGGATAAGACACAGTGAAAGCTTGCTATATTATCATGATCAACACACCTGCTTCACAACAGAGGTGATATCTCCAGGAAGAGCAATGGCTGGCATAACATTATTCCCCATTTCCTCCAGAGAAATGTCAACCTGTGTAAGGGTAAATGAATTTGAAGAACAGAGCACAATTTTGCATCATAAAAATGAAGAAGTAAAAATAAAGTACTGAACACATGTTTCTCATTTCATGCTGATACAATTTTCCATAACTTTTACAAACTGACATTAATGCAAGTTGCACAGTTTCCAATCTCACATTGAATACTTAAACACAACATTCTGTTGCGTCAGAAGAGTACAGGAACAACTGCAGACTGAACTCTGTGATAGACTGAATACTGTGACAGATGAAGTGAGATGCTTGTCTTGTAAATAAGATAAACTGGATATGGAGATCAGACACACTGAGCATAGTTTAATATTAAGCCATACGGTAGGCTGAGCACACACTGAAAGACTGAATACAACAATAGACTAAGCAAGACTATCATAACAGACTCAGCAGCAACATGAAATAGGCAAGACAATATCTGAGCAAGGAGACAGACTGAGTAAGATGGTTGGTTAAGTCAGGTATAGTTATAGGCTAAACGAGTAAATAGAGCATGATGATGAACTGAGCATAACAACAAATTAAGTAGAATTACAGACTGAGCAAGGTAATAAACCAGGAAATAATATAATAGATGATAAACATAGGCATGATTATAGTTTTAGAACAAAGATTGATTGGGAAAGATGACTATGTATGGTAATAGATGGAGAAAGGTGAGAGACAGGATAACCCTCCTAAGGGCTCCCCAACACTGGATCCCATTTCAGTTTCGTTTTCGGCTGATTACATCTCAGACATTAAAATCGTGGTGAAGTAAACTGAGTGCCACACATTGTGTAATCGGTTTGTTTCAGACACGGAATTATAAATGTATGACACATATAGGGCTTAGTGGTAAGGGAAGGAGAGAGGGAGGGGGCAAGAGGGAGGGGGCTAGAGGGAGAGAGAGAATAACTATAAACTGGTACATAAACCATCAATGCCCAGCTCACCGTATATATCTCTTTCCATTGCTTGCTTACATACTATATATTCTATTAGAATAATTGCCCTCCGTTTTGTCATACGGAGCTTGCCGTTTTCAACTGCAGCAATGAGTGCCTCCATCTTGATTGAACAAAAATCACGCAATGCAAGGACACTCCTTTGTGCCAGAAGAGAAAAAGGAAATTCTACTGTTGCCCTTTGTGCTTTCTGCTTGATGGAAAGCAGAACCCATCTCCGCACTGAACAAGGACAGGAAACATGACCAGCGTAGCGCCAATATTGAAATCGCTCTCGTTCTTTCGGGTGATGATGTACAGAGGGTTCACCACGGTCAGCACTCGAAGGCAAAACAGAAATAGGACCCAGTGTGTCTGCACATTAGGCAGAATACCTGTATGATCTTGACTTTTGGATTAAATACCTGTATGATCTTGACTTTTGGATTAAACCTTGGCGGAGCCCCAAAGTGCAGCATCCAATTGAGTCGGGCACCAAGGAGAATGATCAGATCTGCCTCCTGGAGGGCTCTAGTGGGAACAAAGTTTGAATTCCTTTAAAACATACTTTTATCATGGAAATAGCACAATGATATTAGAAGCAGGAAGGGCATGGCATAGACAAAAAAGTCATCAGGGAGAAAATGAGGCAGATCACACGTTACATACTTTACTTTGTAAGTTTAAACAATTTGACGTGATCATCAAGACATTTCAACAAGGAGTAATTTCAGCAAACAGGAAGGACATTAGGGTCATCCCATTTTGTGGTGGTTGCAGGTGGTTTTGATGTGGTCAGTTCGTTTACCCCACCATATTATTGTTCTCCTAATAAATACTCCTTGTTGCAAAGCTGAAACAGAACGACTAGTTCTCAAAAGGGTATTAATAACTGCAACTAAGTAAGAAACATCATTGAAGTGACACCTTTCTACTAAGACAAAGCATTGTCTTCAGGACATCTAATAAGAGTCCCAAAGATACTGACCTAGATCTGGCAGCTGAGACACAGAGTTCATGTGTGTCTGGCAGGACACCTTTGCCCATGGGGGTTGGGAGAAATGGTAGCTTAGTGTCAACCACAAGGCTGTAGATCTCATCTTCTGCTTGGGCGTAGGCAGCTCCTGCAGCAGATATGGTATCCTATTAGGGACTTCTACAATGTGTGCATGACATAGATATAACTTTTTGCTTTGTATTAGTCTTTTTTATTTTTTTGAGCATGTGTCTTTGGATTACTAACACTTATTAGTCTCTCCATTTCCACAACTTTCCAATTTATCATCATAAAGTATAAAAGCACCAATATGAAAATGAAGATACACTGACTTTGGACTAATTCTCAATGTGAGCTATAAACATGTCTTCCATACATAAAGATGGTTTAAAATCTTTAACACCAAGCCCCCCCCCCTCCACTCAACAAATAAGGTCATAGATTGAACATTCAAAGTTCCATATCTTTGTTGGTTTGTTTATATAACACCATATTTCATCTTAAAGTACGTTTTCCAAAAGAGAAAGATTAACAAGTTTTCCACCTTTGCCAACAATCACAAGTGGTTTCTCAGCATATGTTATCAGATCAATTGCATCCTTGATTTTGTCAGGGTCAGCAAACACTGCGGGTGGAGGAGGACATGGGGGCAAATATCTGTGGAGAGGACACAAAGGAATGAAATAAGTAGGCCTATCATGAAGAGTGCCAGTTCACAACTCAAGTTATCACTTATACGTATAAAAGTATGATTTGTATATGTACATAGGCCCCATACATTGTTATAAATAGGTAAACATGTATGCAGAGAAGTTAGGCCTTTGTTAAGAATACAGGAAAAGGAAGTATAAATTTAAAAGAAACAGGACAAAACAAGGGAAAAGAGGCAGAACCACTAGATGAGCAGTTATGGTATAGGTTTAAAATTGATATAAACACTGTTGAGTCATTAAGAGGCAGGGCATCCGAATGTAAGATCCATCTTCATTGGGAACGAACCACCTGTGGAAGGTAGCCTTGAAAAAACACCCAAAAAATCTATGTTTGCGAAATGAGAATGTTAGAATAGGACCTTTTGCGCCAGAGTGCAGTAAGATACCAATTGAGCTGTCATATGACTTCACCAAGAGGAAGTCATTTTCTATATATCTCTTTAAAACATTTTTCAGTATAATGTGGAAAAAGATTTGAAACATTTAAGGGAAATCAAAGATGTTAATGAACAATTGGAAGTCTTGATGTTTTAAAAGGAAATACTTTCTCATTAGATATTTTTGACAATTCATTTTTCATCTCCTCAGCACAAAATGTAGATCTATGTTTTGTTGGTTTGGCTACCAATCATTGCTGAGATGCAGATAAAGACACATTTCGGCAGAAACCTAATTTTTACCAAAGTAGAAATAGAAGACTACTTTAGACAGAGCATGAACAAACTACCCCATTGTTAAGCATCGAATTCTTGAAAGAACGATTAATGGCAAGGAACAAACCTGACTTTTTCTTCCTGCACTTTGCCCATAATCATGTCTCCTGACATATCAATGTAGCATGGTCCTGGTCTGCCATAGGTGCTGGTTCGGTAAGCCTGAAGGAATACAACAAAAAAAGCGAGGTTTTTTTTCACTCTCATCAAAGAGACATTAAGTTCTATCTTATAACTGTACTATTATTACCCTTCACAAATTCGGTCACTGCTCATTTACCAGACCTGATCAAGCCGACCACTCATTGTCGAGGTGAAAAGTGGTCAACCTGGAAAGCATCTTCATATTACAATGAAAAAAAATAAAAACAAAAACAAATTATGAAATGGGAAGTCATCATTTGTACTGATCAGAACCATGCCATTTGGTTACTAGTTATTTTAAAGTAAAAAACTCGCAAAGAAATTATGAAACAAGACGAATCTATATTGTAAAATGTCCCCTTACGTCTATATTCGAATAACCGCTTTATCTGGAAACTCCAAGAAATTTATTTGGATGATTTGGAAAGATACTGATGAGGTAGGTAGGTAAGTATATATACGTATAGTAAAAAAAAGTAGGCCTATATATAAAGAAAAGTGTATATATATATATATAGGGTAGCGACATTTCGACGGCATGCCGTCTGAAAATCGTAGTTGATATTTCCACGGCATGCTGTCTGAACATCGGAAGTGATACCTATACTGTATGCCATCTTGAGTCTAAAGATCGGAATTGATATTTCGACGGCATAGGCTCTGCTTGAAGTGTATCAATGCAAGAATTGTGTTGTTTTCCAGGCGATGAGTCGGGTGATCATACCTACCCGACCCGACCCGATCCCATCCGCAAATGGGCACCCTACTGTTGGAAAAAAAACCCAGTCTTCTCTCCATTTTGCTTACACAAAATAAATTGTGCATCTCTCTCTCGTTACAATCACACAAAACATTTCATCATTGTCCATAATGCACAAAATGATAGCAAAGGATAAACATTGTTAGCTAAACATACAGGTATCTTAAATTGTATCTCTATAATAATGCGTTACTTATGGAAAAGAGATTATAGGCTTAATTATAAATAGTCTGGAGGTTCTGATTGGCTGAATTTATGTGCCGTGAAATTATCACTTCTGATTTTTTGACAGCCTGCCGTATAAACATCCACTTCCATATATATATATATGAATGTATACATGTATTTATCGGCCAGCCGCTCGACGTACTAAGCCCAAAATATTGATAAAGTGGTTTTTGCAGTTTCTTAATCTGATGTATCGGTTGCATGTGCTCAAGAAATATTCTGTGGAAATTGAAATTCTAAATGTTGGGAAAAAAATTACACTAACACCCCCCCCCCCCCCCCCCCCCCAATTGATTTGGAAACAATTTAAAAAAGAATTTAAAAATTGTTCTTTTGCTCCTGAAAAATGTCGCCATCTGGGCTTAAAACAGTTGAACAGCTTGCCGACTATGATAGATATCTCTCTCTCTCTCTCTCTCTCTCTCTCTCTCTCACACACACACACACACACACCTACACACACACCTACACACACACATACACACACAAACACACACACTCGCACACACACACACAAACATATATACATAGTCAAACCTCGTTATACCGCCTACCTTGGGAAGAGCATGAAGTTGGCGGTACAACGGGGCTGGCGGTACAACGGGGCTGGTGGTACAACGAGGTTTTCATACCTTCTGTTAAATTTAACATGTAGCACCAACAGCCCAACGTCAAAGGAACTTGTTTACCAATCACTAGTTGAAGGAATGAGTTATCACCCTTCAATCTGTCACTCAGATTTGATCGTGAGTCCTCACTGAATAAAAGCCCCACAGCCATTCATTCGCCAGCCTGTACTGTAAGTTATTTTGGGCTGATATCTGGCGACGCTTTAAAGTTTCTCCTGGCGACTAAAAATTATCTAATTCTATTTTTTAAATGTAATATTGACCAAGGCCTAAAGATAATATTAATTATAGCATTTTCAAAATCAGCATAACACGCGGGGAGCGAAATTTAATGATGAAGTACAAAGTTATTTCAATTGTACTCTTCTACATTACACATTGCATTGTGTTCGTTTGTGGCACACCACATCACGGTACATCTATCCATAATGCCTGAAATTCACAAGATAAGTGTTTGATCTAGATAAATAAAAGGCCTAGCTCGTAGAGACTTGTGTGAGAGTGTGAAATAGCCTATTGTCAAGCAACAACAGAGTGGAAGTGCCGTGGGCCTAGTGTAGCCTTGTGTGTACTGTGTAGTTCTGGTGCCCAGTTCGCTGGCGGTACAACGGGGTAAATTTACAGTAGGCCTATATATGTATACATGTATGTCATGTATATCAGACAGACAGACATCTGTCCGTATCATCTATATGTACACACACAGACACACACGTCTCCCACTAATGCTAATGCACTGTTTAATGGGTAATTCGTCAGCCTGATATTAAGACTCCTGTTACATAGAGCCCCCCCCCCCCACACACACACAACCCCCCAAACACACACACACACACACACAGATATATATGCACAAGCCCACACGTTCACACAAAACAAATCATCAGCAAACAAAAAGCAACACAGAAATAAACAAACAAAACAACAAATTACATTTAAAAGGAAGGAAAGAGCAACCATGCAAAGTCTTTATTCCTCCAAGTCTCAAGCGCAAAGTAGGATTTTCCCGATACACCTTCCGTCACTCGCACTAAATACACATGGCGGGAGTAAGGCTTAACTCAAGAACAGCTACAGTGTAACGAGTTAATGGCCACACCCTCCGCACGTAGATCGGGTAATTTATTCCTGCTTTTGATTAATATAAACCGGAACGAAAAGACGACTAAATTTGAAAAAGCAGACACATTTTTAGTGGTTTGCAAGCCATACATAGCAATGGTGGGTCTTGTTCATTAACATTAGAAACTAGATACATTAGAAACTATTGTCGGGCAATTCTGAGATTGTGTCCATGTTTCATGGCAACTCCATTTTTATAAGCATAAGTTTAACCTTTGCCCTTTCTTTTTCCCCCCTCTTCTTATTATAATAGAGCTAAGCCCGTTTGTGAGGTCAGTATACATGTTTTACACAGGTGCCCATAAAAGAATTTTTAAAAATATGATTCAGTTAAAAAATTAACACAAAGGGTAACGTCGGCATATTTTCAAAGTTCGGAAAATACCTTTTGATTTTTCAGGTCGGATGGTTTTTCCTGTAAATCGAAGCGCTCATACTAGATCTATATTTTCATTTTGCCATTAGCCATTTCCTATTTTACTGGGGACTACTTCCGTACAGCATTTGTATAGCGCACATCCCCGCTCAACAGCAGGCTCTATGCGCTTTACACTATATTATTACCCCAGCAGACCATAGAACACTCCGAAACATTCTCAGCTTCCCGGGAAGCATACAGTGCAA